CTACTTTCGGGTATAGCTTTTTCAGTGTTTTCGGCAACCACCATTGCTTTTCTTCTTCCCTCACTCCTGGAGTTTGATGATTCTGGTTTATCACTTCTCTTGTGCTTTTCTCCAGATTCCCTTGAGGGGCTTGTGATATCGTTGCCATCTTGATATTTGCTAACCATTGGATAAGGACAGTTCGCTTTGAAGTGCCCTGGCTTTCGGCAGTTGTAGCACAACAGCTGTGAATCAGTGGTTTCGGTCTTTGAAGTCTGAGGGAAGCTTTCATGCCTCTTTCGGTGGCCTGACCGTTGTGGATCTTGAAAGTTGTTCTTTCTCATGAATCTTTTCATTTTCCTGACAAATAGGGCATATTGTTCGTCAGTTAAAAAATCACAAGAGTTAGATTTCGACCTGTTAGGGGTTGACGCTGCCTGATTTGCTACGAGGGCAATATTTCTTGTTTCTGGTTCCTCAGCATCTTTCGGTTCATGTTCAAACTCATATGCTTTGAGATCACTGAAGATTTTGGCTATGGGTGTTGTTTTCATGTCACGATTATCTCTCATCGCGATGACCTTCATCTCCCATGACTTCGGCAATCCACGAAGGATTTTAGATTCATTTCCTTTTCGGTGAGTTCTTTTCCAAGGTCTGACAAGTCTCCCATCAGCCTTGTGAATCTTAGCTCCATCTCCATGATCGTCTCGTTTGGCTGCATTTTAAAGTCTTCGAACTTCTTCATGGCCATTGTCAGTTTGTTGTCCTTTTCTTGTTCATCTCCTTCTCCCAAGTCCATTAGAACTTTCCATACTTCCATGGCATTTGTACATTTTCTGACTCTGGGGAAGAGTGAATCATCTAGAGAGTTGTAAAGAATGTTCCTTGCCACATTGTCCAGATTTGCTCTTGTTCTTTCGTCCGAGGTATACTGCTCTTTCGGCTTAGGTATCATTTGTGGAGCATCTGGTCCTTGAGCAGCAGCCTGTGCATTTGCCATCATCACTGTGATAGGTCCAGTAGTTATGACGTCCCACATTTCATCATGAATAGAGCACAGAAGAGCCTGCATTCTCAATTTCCAGTCATCAAACTTGGCAAGACTAAAAGCAAGCTGTTTAGAGCGATGTTGTGCATATTCCTTTTCCATTTTAAAAAAAATCGTGCAACGAAGAAGATCCAAAAAAAATTCAAAGGTAGATCTACCAGGCAGTAAATGCAAAAAACCTTTACCGTTCTAGGTATTTGGCTCTGATACCACTTGTTGGTCCCGATAGATTGTGTGGTGAGTCTAGAGGGGGGGGGGTGAATAGACTCTCGTTTTTCTTTAGTTTTTTTTTTAAAAGAAAAACCCTGACAACACTTTTGAGTAAGATAAGCACAGCGGAAAGATTATAAAGTGAGGGTTGCACGAGTTTGATAAAATGTTAAGAGGAGTGATGAAAAAGATGATATGCAAGCAGTAAAATAAAGCAGTAAGTAGAGAGAAGAGTGAGACGAGATTTTATAGTGGTTCGGCCAAACGTTGCTTACTTCCACTCTTCTTCCACAACTGCTGGAAGGATTGCACTATCACTCTTTAGTACAACTACACAAAGACTTCCTTGATCACTAAGCCGGACAGCCTTTGAAGGTTTTTCAACTCCGAGAGTTTACTCCGCCTCTATCAACTTCTTCTTCTAAGTTGAGGTTGGTAAGAAAGTATTTCTTGATTCCTCCAACTGTGAAGTCTTGATGGTGTGGGATGATTGCTTCAAGAGTGCAAGACTTCTTTCAAGATGTAGGGCAGTGATGGATAATCTACTTCAAATGCCTTAACACCTTAAGTAACTGGTTCGTAAAAAGTTTTGAGATTGTTAACTTTTCAAGGACTTTTTGCAAGAGAGTGAGTAGAGTGATAATGAACCAGCACCTTCTTAGTTGATGAAGGTTGGTTTATATAGGTGATGAAAATTCATCCGTTGGAGGGAGATGAATTTTTTCGAACCTTTTATCCGTTGGACAAGGACCATGGAGCCTCATGCATTTAATGCTCCATTAATGGGTTTGTACTATGTAGCCGTTGAAGGTATGGAGGACTTGATGGCTTTTGTCTTTTAGCTCCAGAGATAGTACAGCTTCATTAAATGCTCTTTGGAGAGCGTGTCCCATGAGTTGAGGTCCTTATTGTCCTAGGATATTGTCAAATCAGACAGGTAGAACATTCTTCTTGTTGATGAGAAGAAGAATACTTGTTGGGATAGTCTTGAAAAGAACTGTCTTCTTAATGACAACTCCTTCTTTCGTTGCTGTGGAGTCTTCTTTCGTCTTGATCAGCCTATCTTCTATTCATAACTCTTTTCGTGTGTTTGTTCTAGCTTAACACGAATTACATATGAGTTATGGCAACTTTCGTCTAGAATGAAAGTAGCGATACAAGAGAAACGTAAGAGTTAGGGGTCTACTTTCTACATTACATTGGTATCATCAAAATCCTAATACAAGGTTCCTAACATGCATATATATTATTTTTTGTTGTAGCTACTAACTTATTTTTTAATTTAAGTAATAAGAGCAATAAAGTGGGAAAATTATGATGTGGAACCATGTCCACCTTGCAAGGTGGACAAAGGTGGACACGGTTCCAAAACTGTTCATAATTATGAATATATATATATAGTTCAAAAATTATGAACATATAGTTCTATAATTATGAACATAGAGTTGTGAACATAATTATGAGCATATAGTTCTGTAATTATGAATATAGAGATTCAATAATTGTGAATATGAAGTTAAAAAATTATGAATATATAGCTTTATAATTATGAACATATAGTTCAGTAATTATGAACATAGAACTGTGTCCACATTGCAAGGTGGACACAGTTCCACAACATAACGATTGAATAAAGTGGCGTACATACTTTTCATCCACAATAATGAAATCATTGATTTTTGTTTTAATTTCCATGGTTGTTGAGACAAATTGTTTTGAGGGTTTGTCAATGACAATTGATGTCAATAGATGATGATAATAAATAATTCAAAATATAAGGTTACAATAGATATTATTATAATAATATAGTAAAAATTAACTAATAAATTGCTTTAGAAGTTTTTATGCATTGATAAAAGCATAATTGAAATACTAAGTTTTGTTCTCAATAGTCAAAAGAACATTAATTAAACGAAAAAAAAAAAAAACTAAACTTAAATTTATTATTTTTTTTAATGAAAGAAAATCAAATGATTACCAAAGTTCCTGATTTATAATCATTGAATGCTATGTATTTAGTCGGGCTAATTTTTTGACCAAAGTTTATGTTAAATTTTATATTTTATTTTTTAATACATTTTAACATATTAATAGTATATGTTTAACAATTATGCTAACTCTAATTGGAATGAGGTTCGAACCTAAGACCTTTCTTATAGAAATTAATAAGTTAAGAATATAATAAATAGTTAACGGAATATTCTGTTAATAAAGTTTATACTAATGGAATTTAAGGTTATTTAAGGAAAGAAAATAATATAATAAAGGGTAAATAAGGAAAATCATTAAAAATACTAAAATCAAAATACTATGAACCATTTATTTTAAAAAACAAGTAGTACTGACATTTTTTTTATTCCAGTTAAGGATCTAACATTATTGACTCTTATTAGAATTGTAGATGTAGATGTAGATTGTAGATTGTAGATGGTAGATGTAGATATAGAAACAGAATCTTAAAGCAATAATAAAAATTAGCTAACATTCTATAGTTACCTAGCCACACAAGTACACATACATAAAATCTTGAACTTTGGTAACCACAAAACATGGGCCTGATCAAGGATATTAGGCAAATTATATCGTGCAGCAGCGTGCACAATGCATTGTGCGCCCTGAGAGTCTATGTGTATTATGTTAAAAGTTTATGTGTATTACGTTAAGAGTTTATGTGTATTACGTTAAAAGTTTGTGTGTACTATGTGAAAAGTTTATGTGTATTATGTATTATGTTAAGATTGTGTACTATTTAACAGTTTATGTGTATTCTATTATACAATTATGTACATACAAAACATAGGATTTCTAAAACGCACAATGCATTGTGCGCCCTGATGCACGATATAACAATTGAGGATATTACCCATTAAGTCGATACCCTCTCAATCCTAGTGATCTGGCCCACTATATATATATATATATATATATATATATATATATATATATATATATATATACATACCGCAACATGAACTATAACGGATTCTTCATGCCGCACACTGACCTTTCATATATTGATGTTTTGATTCACAAATTGTTAAATTTTTTTCGCGTAAAACTTTTTACAAGATTCCTTCAAATTATAGGTAATAATATATGCTGATGTGGAGGTGTTTTGTTATTGACGTGTTTAAATAAGTAATAAAGGTATGTGAGTTGGCATCCATTTCATCATATCGCTCAAATAAACACGCTCAAATAAACAAAGCCCTAATTCGAATTCCTAAGTGATTGCAACCCTAAATCCCCCAAACCCAAACCTTAAATCCCTAATTTGACTACCGTCGACAACATCCCTACATCCCAAACTGAAGCTATATATAAATCCCTAATTCAAAGCTATAATGACAGTGAATGAAAGGAAAAGCGACTGGAAAACAACTAAGGTATGTAGAACAATATATGCGAACACTGTAGGATCGGAATTTGTTATACAGTTGTGTTAATTAATGGATATATATGCGAATATGTAGTGGTGTGGTTCTACTATGCTTATATTTTTATAATTTTGATGTAGTGGGTAGTATTGTCAAAACGGGCCGACCGATCCCACCGCAGGTCTAATTTCTGGCGGACTTTTGTGGGCCGACCTGCCAGGCCTGCGGCGGGCGAGAGTTCATGCGGGCGCCGTTTTGATGCGCGGTGCATAATCGATTATGCTCCGTGGTCTACGATATAATGATTCTTATTTACTAGGCTCAATGCAATATGCATGTTTATATATGGTGGACTAACTGTATATTAATTTGGCGTAATTGATCAAATTTGTAGGGTACTACTGCAATATTTAAATAAACTTATGAATGAATTTTTTTTAAAAAAATCTAAACAAGAAAGAAAAGGGAAAATGGAAAAGAATAGAAAGAGGAAGGTTTGATTGCTTTTCTTATTAATAGTATTCATCTTAGCTTGTTTGCAGTGTCTTTTTTTTTTTTTTTTTAATACTATTGGCTCTATTACAAGGTATTATCTGTTTTATACTTTTTTTAACTACTATAACCGTAAGAGTCAATATCCCACCACCGGAGTTCTATCCTGTGACATTCCTTCAACGAAAGCCACAAAGATATCATCTGAGCACAAGGTGCTTATTAGCAGAACACTGAATAATTAATTATGCTAATACCTCACGATCAAAATATTACAGAATGTAACAGAATATAGAATAATTAATTATGGTAATATTATTATGGTACCTCACGGTCAAAATATTGCATAATGTAACAGAATATATACTAATTAATTATGAAAAATATTATTTGGATAACACTAAACAATGATAAATTTAATTATGGTAATTAAATATTCTTTAATCAAAGTAGCATAGTTGAATTACACCATAAAATAATGAGTGCATTTTTTGTAAGAATAGAAATTACTTATCACCATAAAATTTTTAATAGCATAAATTTTAAAATTAAAAATGAAAAAAGAAATTGAAATTATTAATTAAAAAATGAAATGAATATTAATAATTGACTAAAAATAAAAAATGATTCATAATTGTTTAAAATGGAAAAGGAAATGATTAGATCATTGCATTTTAATTTTTCACATTAATATTATACAGTGTAAAACATCAAATCACAATTATGTCATAAATCTTTCACAATTTTAAACAATGGAACAAAAATTAAAAATAGAATGAAAATATTTCAATAATAATATTCTACATCATTAAGTAAAGGTAAATTACCAGGACTATGTGGTCTAATGGTACCCGGGTTGGACTTCCATTTGGAAAATTATGAGTTCAAGCCTCAGTTCTTTGTGTTTCAGTATATTGAGAAAATATATAAAAGGAAATGAATATTAATAGTTGACTACAAATAAAAAATGATCCATAATTGACTAATATGAAAAAATAAATGGTTAGATCATTCCATTTTAATTAAAAATGGAACAGAAACTAAAATTGGACGGAAATATTTGAATAATAATATTCTACATCATAAATAGTAAATGCATATTTTGAACAATAGTAAAGGTAAATTAAAAAGAAACAAAAAATTTCAATAATAATAATATTATACATCATTAATTAAAAATAAAACAGAAATTAGGTATTAAAAATAAAACAGAAATTAGGTAAAAATATCATTGCATATGATATTCTAATTGACTAAAAATAAAAAACAATAATTGGTTTAAAATGAATCTGATATTACTAATTGACTTAAAATATAAAATGATATCATTATATATTTTCACTCGAGTCACTCATCCTGATAGACTGAAGGTGTTAGCTCTAGACAATGATGGACAAGATTGTGTTATACTATCAGTGTCGTCTACAGAGAGATTTCAATAATGTGTACATACAATCATTGATATTATGTATTTTTAAATGACTAGGTTGCAATATATCAAATGTGGTCGCGCCATAATATGCAGTGGGTGCGGCCGCTTAAAAATGTGCCAATAGTGTTAGGAAAATGTACAATAATAAAAAGCACAAATACACCACAAAACGCACAACACACCAAAAAATGAACCATACCTCCCTCCTCACACATAATTGTGCATTTTCGAACAGTGTGTGTTGCGTTTGTGTATACTTAATGGTGTATTTTTTATTGTGCGTACCTAAAGGTGCATTTTTTCGATATTTGTACATTTTTTTGTGCGTTTCCTAACACTATTGGTGCAGCCGCATTGACCACACGTTAAGGCGCAACCGCACCTGAACTAACATTATAGCTTATTCAAGAAAGATTTTAATTGATTTATAAACACATACTCTCTCTGTCTCATTTTATCTCTCATACTTATTACTATTCATTGGTCAAACCAACTCTTATTCTTTGTTTATTTTCTTTAACATTTTTACATACTCATTTTTAAATTTGATTTTGTTTGTGTTTAATAGTACTTTTAGTGTAGTTTCTAAATATATAAATTTTGTATACTAATTCTAAACTTAATATTATTAAAATTGATTTAAAAATAAATTCATTCAGACCTCGTTAACTGAACCAGACACATAAAATAAGACAAATGAAATAATATTTAATAAATTTGAGGCCTTTTTGTATTTATTTATTTTTATCAAACCACGAGATGTCATAAACATGTCCTAATTGTAGGAAGCACGTTTAAGCTCGTATGATATCAAAACTAATCTCTGTTCACACCAATCCAACCCAATTAAGGAATAAAATACTAGTCAGATTAATTATTCCATACGAGAGTGAGTTGGATTGTTTGAACTCTCAATCTCTCTCAAGGGAGGATAGTGCATTGCTTTTAATTTCTTGTATATATTGTTTGGTATGTATGTAAGTAATAGTACAGTCATAAATACTTATTTTTTTTTATTAAAAATGTCAAAGAGAAAACTGAAACTCATGTTTACATCATGGGGTGCTACAAATTAGTTCACACCTAGGCGAACTTTGACCTTATAAGTTGAATGGTTTCCTTATCCACTCTAAAAGCTTTGGAGAGGATATCATCGGATATAGTCGGAACAGATCCAAAAAGTTGAGAGGGAACGAGGAGGGTGCCGGGATTTTGGCTGTTTAAACTGTTAAAACTAGTTGCCTTACCTTTCCCCACATTTGCTTGGTAGTGAAGTAAACCTGGGGGAATCACGAAAACATCTCCGGCGTTCAATGTTTTGGCGTAGAGACGATTCTTCGTCGGATTACTCGGATCCGCCGTGATGAAGCCAATTTCAAGCGTGCCCTCCAAAACCAAGTGCAACTCAGTTCCTCGAGGGTGTGAATGGGGCGCGGCCAATGCCCCAGATTCGTAATCCACACGAGCCATCGATATGCCAAGTGTGTTTAGTCCGGCGATTCTGTCAGCGCCGACGGTGTTGAGGGATACGCCGCCGCCTGCCGGATTTCCACTGACATTTAAACCGGATGTGGAGAAGTCATCTTCTGTCACCAGTTTTGGATCTTTGCAAACCCTTCCATTCACAAAAACTGCATTCATAAACCACTGCAAGGTTAAATTACCAAAGAATAATAAAAAGCTAAGCATATGTTTTTTGACGGATTTTCGTGCCGGGAAATAATAATAAAAAAAAAAAAAAAAAAAAAAACAAATCATTATTTTGAAAATTTTCCGACTACCCATAATCCAAAGTTCCAACCACCTTTTGTCACAGATGATGATCGAAAATTAAGGGGACATAATGATAACATAATTGATTAAATTTTTCCACCACATTTGTTGATAATCAAAACTAATTTCTAACTAATAACATTAAGATTTTGACTGCAAGTTGGAAGTTATAATTTTTATTAGCACCGAAATTATGAAAATAAAGCAATAAAAAGTGGAAATGAAAGAATATTTACCAGTAGCTTTGGGATCATTTGCCGCAACACAGAAGTCTTGAAGAGGGCTTGGATCAAAAGCATGAGCAAATGAAAAAACAAGAGCAATAATGGCTAAGGTTGTTGGCAAGAGGAAAGCCATTGTTTTGTTTTTTTGGTGGTGTGATCATATTCTTCTTAGAATGTTACTTATATATAATTTTCTCGAGTACACTCAAAAACTATATTCGTTTAACATATTTGGAAAAAATATATATTTGTCGCCTAATTATTAAGTTAATTCATTGCGAACGATCACACCAATTTTAACTCAATCATACCAATATTTAATTTAAATCTTAATCTTAATCTTAATCTTAATATATATATATATATTATTATATATTATATATTATGCAATCCAATTAATATGCCATTATTTACCTATTGATTACGCTCTAATTTTTATTTGACTCATATTGTTCTGGCGGGCAATCCTCTCCATAATTAGTGACAATCCTTTCCATATAATTACTATTTTTATTTCACTCAAATTATGCTGGCTAGATAATGAAAAAAAAAAAAATTCCATAAAAGAAAATATGTCAGCATTTATCTAAATAATTACTTACCCAATAATTATTTATCCTCTCCATATAATTAGTTCCGTATTGATTTTATAGAAATTATAGAAATTTAAATTATTATTAATTACTGATTTTTGGTAGGATTTTCCTTTTTAGTTAATTTGGTTTCCTTTTCTATGCTATTTTACTGTTAACAAATTATTAGTATTAATCTCCTTTTCTATTTTCCTTTTAAGCTAATAATTTATATCCAAAATTATAGTACATTTATTTTAATTTCTTTTCCTTTTCTATTTTTCCTACTTTTACTCCTAATAAACTATTAGTATTACTCTCCTTTTATATTTTCCTTTTTACTGATAATTAACCTTATTATTACTATTATTATTATTATTAACTGAATCCCGTTTTCATTTCTTTTTTTTTTTTCTTTTTCTACTGCTAATATTATTAGTATTATTATTATTATTGTAATTGTAATTATTATTATTATTATAGTAATAATAATTCATTATTATAGTATAATATTTGAACTCTATATTCACAATTATGACAGTTTTGAAATCGTGTTTACCTTGCAAGGTAGACTGGTTCCACTAAGTTGTTTAACAGAATAACATGCAGTAGTTGCTTAATAGGCTTTTTCTAGTACTAAGTTGATTAACATGCAGCAGTATTGTAGTTATAAGTTGATAAACTTGCAGTATATAATTCGCCGAGTGTGTTTATGAACCTGTATACAGGTTTATAAAGTCATAACTATAAGTTAATCCACTTACTACTGTAGAACCATCATGTCATTACTATAGGTTTATTAAGTTAATACTACAGGTTCATCATCTTACTATCACACATTCATCAAGCCGCTACTATATGTTTATTGAGTCAGTACTATATATTTACAACTTACTACTATGGTCTATCAAGTTATTATTACATATATTCATTAAGTCATTACTACAATAAGTTCATCAATTTACTACTACAATTCCAAAGTCACAATTGAAGGCCCAATAACTTACTATTACATGTTCCTCGATTCACCACTACATGCTTATCAACTCACTTTGACATGTCAAGTATGTCACTAGTCTAAATTCACAATCAAATTATTAAATGATATTTAAAAAAAAATTATATCAATATGTGTGTTATTTAAAAATTTTAATGAGATTTGTTACTATACAGCAGTAATTTTATTCACACAAAAAATAGAGAATAATATGTATACAAGTGATGGTTGGTTTGACAATTGGCACCACTATGATGATACATAGTATTCTTTGATCTATTTAAATTTTTGATAAATTTATAGTATGTATTATTTTACTCAATCATATTGTCTATGTTGTAACATGACCCCTTGTCCAAAGATATAATTTGTATGTCCAACCCCAACAGGTGAAGTACTAATCTCTGATCCAAAAACCCTAAAATGTAACCGTACCCTAGAGCTCATTATCTACAAACTTTTCAACACCAATGGCAGGGCTGATGTATTCTGCAATATTCCAATTAAATTGGTGGTATGATATGATCATATTATTCTTGAATGTTATTTACATATAATTGTCTTGAGTAGAATCAAAATTATATTCATTTAGTATATTTGGTAAAAAAAAAATATTTGTGGGCTAATTATTAAGAATATCTCTTTCTTTATTGATTGTGAACAATCACACCAATTTTAACTCAATTCTAGGGATGGCAACGGGGCGGGGCGGGGGCGGGGAGTATACTCCCTGTCCCCGTCCCCGCTACCCCGACACTGTCCCCGTCCCCGTCCCCATCCCCGGCGGAGGATAAGACAAAAAACCTAACGGAAACGCAACGAAATCCCACTTCAAAGACTCATCTTTAATTCACATGGAAGCCAAAGAAGAAAAGACAAAAAGGGAGGAATTACGGAGAGACTTTCAAGTACAGACTCGACTAACGAACGCGCCGAATATAAACTGACCAAACTACCCTCAAAATTAACGTTGAGTTAACCCAAAACCTAACAGAGGACCATTTTAGATGAGTTTTTAAAAGTCAAGGGATCACATTAGGTGTAATTGAAAGTCAAAATGTATAATTGAGAATGAGCAATAGTCGAGGGATCATTTTGGGAATAAACTCTATTCTATTATACAATTATGTACATACGGAATATAGGATTTTTAGGCGCACAATGCATTGTGCGCCCTGGTGCACGATATAACAATTGTTTGATGGCAAATTATGTTGTGCATCCGTATGCACCATGCATGGTGCACGGATGCAATAATGACGTCGTTTTATTAAAAACGCGCGTCCCACTTTAAAAAAAAAAATCAATTTCGATTCCCAGCAACAGCATTATATTGTGCATAATTTGAACTATATATCCAGAATCAATGAACTAAAAATCCAGAATCAATGAACTAAAAATTCAGAATTTATGAACTAAAAATACAGAATGAATGAACTAAAAATCCATAATGAATGAACTAAATATCCAGCATGAATGAAAAAAAAAAAGAATCAGTTTCGATTTACGTCTAAATATCCAGCATCAATAAACTAAAAATCCAAGATCAATGAACTAAAAATCCAGAATGAATGAACAACATAATGCTGTTGAGGGAAATCGAAACATAATTTTTTTTTTTAAGTGGGACGCGCGATTTTAATAAAACGACGTCGTTTTTGCATCCGTATGCACCATGCATGGTGCATACGAATGCACAACATAACGGTCCGATTTTGATGTAGTAAGTAGTATTGTCAAAGCGAGTCGACCGATCCCACCGCGGGTCTAATTTCTGACGGACTTTCGTGGACCGACCCGCTAAGTCTACGGGCGAGAGTTCATGCAATCCTAGCCTGCCCCACGTGGGTTGGCAGGCCGGAGGGCTGACACTTTTTTATATCTATTTAAAAAGTTTAAAAACAAATTGTCCAAGAAATTAATGAACCCATGAACCTCATCAATTTTTTTTTTTTTTTCTAGAACTCTAGATGAATTTCATTGATAAAGCCACCGGCTTCAAAATTTACACAGTTCTTAGGAAAATGATGGGTGTCAGAAATCTATTTTGAGCACCAATCGTTATACCCTACACCACGGCGCACATAGCACTGTGCGCCGCGCGCCTCTCAAAACGACGTCGTTTTGGGTCGTTTTGGGAGGCGCGGTAGGAAGTTGCTGGGATTATGTGTATTTGTTCACACAGTTATGTGTATTTGTTCATACAGTTATGTGTATTGGTTCATACAGTTATGTACATTTTTTATACAATTATGTACATTCTTTTTATACAATTATGTACATCTGAATCAGAAAATTTGTGTGTATTATGTTAATAGTTGATGTGTATTATGTTAAAAGTTTATGTTTATTATGTATTATGTTAGATTATGTGTATTATCTTTTAAAAAGAGTATGTATATTTTGTTATATAATTATGTACATTCATGTATACAATTATGTGTATTCTAGTATAACATTATGTACATTCTTGAACAGCGGGTTTTTTTTTAAAGAAAAAACTACTGCCATTCACTAGGGCGGGAAATTTCAAAAAAAAAAAATTAAAACGACGTCGTTTTGCATCTGGACGCATAGTGCAACGCGCGCCGTGGTGTAGGATATAAATTGCCTTTGAGCACCTATTGGGTCATTCTTTAAGTATGGATATTTTCAAACATACAATTGGTGCCCACCAAGTTTTCTCTGAGATGTGTTAAGAAGCCTTCTAATGGTAAATTCCATTTCTCTCTGTTTTAGTTATTTACTCGCAAATCATATCGTGCACCGTGATGCATAATCGATTATACACCGTGCATCAAAATGACGTCGTTTTATTTAATGAAAGGAAACGGAATCCGTTTCACGCCGTTCCGTAAAAAATAACTCTGTTCTTCAGTTTCATTTTGTATACACTGCAGTTTCAGTTCAACACAACTATAGTTTCATTTTGATATAACTAAAGTTTCATTCAATATTTATACACTCAAATATGTGAAAATATTATTTAATTTTATTTTATATACACTATAGTTTCATTAAAAACACAAATACATGATCATTTCGATATAATTACAGCTTCATTGTACAATATACATTCAAATATGTGAAATGTTATTCAGTTTCATTTTATATATACTGCAGTTTCATTTCACCACAACTGCAGTATTATTTTGATATAACTGCAGTTTCATTTGATAATATAAAAATAATATGTGAGGCAGTGTCGGTTTAGATACACTGTAGTCTCACTCCGTTAACACTAACAGCGCGCTGTTTCTTTACTTAAAGAAACGGCGCCGTTTTGATGCGCGGTGCATAATCGATTATGCTCCGTGGTCTACGATATAATGATTCTTATTTACTAGGCTCAATGCAATATGCATGTTTATATATGGTAGAGTAACTGTATATTAATTTTGGCCTAATTGATCAAATTTGTAGGGTACTACTGCAATGTTTAAATAAACTTATGAATGAAATAATAATAATAAAAAAAATCTAAACAAGAAAGAAAAGGGAAAATGGAAAAGAATAGAAAGAGGAGGAAGGTTTGATTGCTTTTCTTATTACTAGTATTCATCTTGTTTGCAATGTTGGGTTGTTTTCTTTCCTTTTTTTTTTTTTTTGTTTTTTTTTAATACTATTGACTCTATTATAATGAAGTATCTGTTTTATACTTTCTCTAATTATTGTAAATGCAAGAGTCAATACACCACCACCAGAATTCTATCCTGTGATATTTCCTCAAAGGGAAGCCACAGAGGTGTCATCTGAACACAAGATGCTTGGCTGCTGGGTTGTTTTCTTAGATATTAATATTAATAGACTTATAAAGATATTATATTTATTTAATTTGAGGTCTTTTGTATTTATTTGTTATCACATCACGAGGTGTCATGGACATGCTCTAATTGTAGGAAACACGTTTAAGCTCGTATCATACCCAAACTAATCTATGTTCACATCAATCCAATCCAATTAAAGAAAAAAGTATTGATCGGATTAATTATTCCATACGAGAAGGGATTTGAACTCCCAATCATTCTCAAAGAAGGATAATGGATAACCTTTAATTTATTGTATTTATTGTTAGGTATATAAGTCAATTGAATAGTACAATAATAAATACTTATTTTTTATTAAAAATGTAAAAGTAAAAATTGAAGCTCATATAACATCATGGGGTGCTACAAATTAGTTCACAGCTAGGCAAACTTTAACCTTATTGAAAAGTATTGGGCATGTTTGGTTAGTAATTTGGTGAATTTGACTAAAATCAATGTTTTGACCAAGTCAAAACGCTGATTCTAGTGTTTGGTTATCAGTGATTTGGAGCAGCGGTTTGGCTCCAAACCGCTGAAACCCCAAATACTGCAAATAGCCGCGTTTGGAGTTGGCGTTAAAAAGATTTAATATTGACTCAGAAGCCTGAGCTCTATTCTTGCCCATCCGATGTGAGATAGGCAAGAGTAAAACGGAAGGGATCTTGCCCCTTTTCTTCTAAACTTTTGATGTGGGATTTGTGATCCCACATTTTTATTATTATTATTATTATTATTTATCTAACATTCTCAACAATCTAATATTTTATAAGGTAATCTAATATTTCGTGCACCAGGTCCCGTATTGGTTGCATTCCGGACCAAGTCAGCATTGACGTTGGCCATGTTTAGTTAACGGCAGATCCGCTATTTTTTTTGACGGATCTGCTATTTTTGACAGTTTGACCGTGTCAAACCGTCAAAAAAGTTATTTGGTTAAACAGTGATTTGCTCTAAACCGCTGCACTTTGCAGCGTTTGCAGATGGCATTTTGAAAAAAATTTAATTTTTCCCAAAACGCCCGTGTTTATATATTAAAAAAAAAATTTAACTTAATGAGGAGTCAATGTTGCCCACCCAGATGGGCAACTATTTGTTCAAAGTGTTGCCTTGAGGCTCCTTAAATAGGAGCTTCAAGGCTGCACTCCCACTTTTTTCACCGATATGGGACGGTGGAAAAAGAAGATATATATATATTTTTTTACTATTATTATTATTATTATTGTTGTTGTTGTTGTTATTATTATAGGTCATTTTACATGTTAACTGTTAATCTAAACAGTTAATTTTACTAAATATTTTTTTACAAACCGTTAATATAATCCGCTCCGCTAACTGCTGATATCCAAGCATGACCGTTATCTTTACACTTCACCTAGGCCGTAGCATTGTAGCAATGACCAATATTTGGCCAGGTGCGTGCACGCGCCACTTGGCTCGTAAAAGGCTATACAACTGTTCCCAGCACAAATCTACATCCTTTTTCTCCCAAATTTAGAACCTAGCAAAGTCTTCCCAATTCCCATCTTTCAAAATATCACTTGGGAGAAGAAGCATGTATGAACAGAAGAAGAGCAGAGCAGATCTGGCAAAATAAAGAAGCCCGGCGCCTGGATGGATAATTTACTGGCCTTGTAATTCTATGATTTTGGCAGCAAACAAACTTCTTATTCTCTGAGAATAAAGATTCATTTGTTAGATGCAGATCAGATCTGGCAAAACAAAGAAGCCCCGCACCTGGATGGGTTCTTGTGAATTGTACTGAACCCCGTGTTCTACTATACAGGCCTTAAAAAAATATCACAATCCACTTTCCCGGCCTCCATCTTCAACCTGCAGACTTAGCAGATCATACTGACCTAGCTTCTGCTCTACATACATGTCTTAACATTCAACAAGGTATCTCTCTCTCTCCCTCTCTCTCTTGCGGTTAACTGGTTTTTATTTGCTAATTCATTTTATATCCTTTATTATTTTTTTTTTTTGAATGCTATATCCTTTATTTTGTTTTTAATGAATTTGTATATTTTACCAACAATTATATGAATGATTGAATCCATTCAATCCACCAACAAACAATTATATGATTCATTTTCAAATCAATAGTAATACACACAATGAACAATAATGACAGTATCACTAACATACACTAACAACAATTATATGAATCCAGTCAATCCACCAATAGACAATTATATGATATAATTTTTAAATGGTTTGACAGTATGTATACACCAATACGGCAATAAACATTTACAGTTGTCCACATGTCCAGATCAACGAATCAGATGTAATTTTAAAAAAAGACTTTGGTACAAGTAAATGCGTTATAAGTGTAAGTAGTTGGTGCATTTTTGCAAGTAAAAAGTGCAAGTAAAATCACTTACAAGTGCAAATAATTTACCTTGTTAACATTCGTGAGCTTAGGTGCAACTAATTATAAAGTTAGGTGCACTCAGTATTGGTGCTTAAAAATTTTATTTGCACTTGTAATATATTTTATACTTATAATACATTTTACTTGCACTTAGGTGTATTATATGAAACTGCTACTTACACTTGTAATACATTTTACTTGCACTTTGATGTTCAGTTATTTACAAAAATGTCACCGTTTTTTTTTTAAATAAAAATTAGTGTCTCTCATCTGTTAGATCTGAACACGTGGATAGATGTGTTCTCTTGTAGGCGCATCGTTCTCATTTAAACACACACACACACACACACACACACACACACACACACACACACATATATATATATATATATATATATATATATATATATATATATATATATCTAATTTTTGGGGTGGGACGGGAAGGGGTATTCCTATCCCCATTACATTGCGATCCCTAATTTAGAGAAAGGTTGCACCAAATTTTTAGACCAACATAATGTTTTAGTGTCTTCCTTCATTATATACACTGTTGCAAAAATCGTGCCTAGGCGCTAGGCGTCCGGCCTCCTAAGCGGCCTAGGCGCCCGCCTAGAGGGCGCCTAGCGATTTTTTCAACATTGATTATATATATATATATATATATATATATATATATATATATATATATATATATATACTTCATTTCATTTTAATAATTGTAAGTTTTATTCCGTAAGTCTCATTACTCTGTTTTTCTAATACACTATTTTAACATATTCACTAAAGCTTGTTCATTTTACAGAAATTCAACACCATTTTGTTGCAGAAGAGTAAACTGGTAAACGAATTCTTTATCTAGTTCCATCTATTGTACCACCTATGAATCCAAAAATAAACTATGCAGGAGGTATGTAGATTCTTTTTTCACTTAGCTTCCATACTTGTTTACTTATTTCATTAACATGAATAGTAGAATACTAGCTATTTTATATCTAATAATTACAGCAGATGAAACTAGTGAAATTTAAATATGTATATATTAATTGAAAAGTGAAGTAATTAATCATCAAATACATACTATAACTTATTTCAAATAGTGAAAAACATACTAGATAGCAAACATAAACCAGAGAAAGTATTTCATAAGTCTATTACATAGTCACCAAAAACCAAAGTTATATTCCAAAATCCAAACAATAGTTCATCAACCTTTTCCCAGAGCCTAGATGTCTATTTAAGGTACACTTCTAGGAGCAGGCAGAGTTTTCCTTTCTCCAGTGCTTATCAACAATCGTCTAATGAGTCGCAAAAGTGGATGGGTCGTTTCCCCTTGCTTGAGCGTGGTAATGGATATGAATGTTGGGGACTTGATATGTACTATACACATAGCATAACAGAAAGAACTTGAAAAGAAAATAAAATGAACAATAATAATAATATGGTACATTAACATATCAAGAAAGAACTCGAAAAGAAAATAAAATGAACAATAATAATAATATGGTACATGTGTCAATGTTATCGTAACATAGTCCACAAAGGGTACAAAATTACCAACTCAATTGACCACAAACTATGCCAATAAACTTTTAAATGAGCTATGGGTCTGAGCTACATGATACTTGGGTTATACAGGGTTTTAAAAGATTGCATGGTTTAAGTTAAGTTGGATCCCACAAAAAGTTAGGGCGGGACATATAGGATTAGCTATTGGGGTGGTAACTAGTTACTCTACTTAGTCTTTTATGCAAGTTGAAGCGGTAAAAATTATCTTGATGCAGCACCTGAAGAACCACCCAATGAGTCACACAGTCCCACACCTGCACAGGCTCAGCAGCCAGATATTAGGTAATCAACCAAACAAAAGTAAACTCCTTCCTACTTGAAGGACTATATTTGTCACAACTCTACAGTAAAAATATCTCCTCATAACATGCTTAAGGTTTTAAGCTATAACTTTCACCCTCCTTTCAGTCCTTTGTTATGAACATCACGTCATCACCTGCCACATTGAACCTAAGAACTATAAGGAGGCAGTTCAACATGATTGTTGGAGAAAAGCCATGGAGGAGGAGATAGCTACCCTAGAAAACAACACTTGGCAGCTGATGGAGTTGCCACCTTCAAAGAAGCCCATAGGCTGCAAATGGGTATATAAGGTTAAACATAAACCAGATGGCAGTGTTGAAAGATATAAAGCCAGACTGGTGGCTAAGGGATACACACAAATACTTGGGATTGATTACCTTGACACCTTTAGTCCTGTGGCTAAAATGACTACCATTAGAACCTTCTTGGATATAGCAGCAACCAAGGATTGGCATCTCCACCAAATGAATGTCAATAATGCTTTCCTCCATGGAGATTTAGATGAAGAGGTCTACAGCTGTCACTTGGTTTTGAAGGAAGGCAGAATGGTCAAGTGTGCAAACTGAACAAATCCTTTTATGGGCTAAAGCAGGCTAGCAGGCAATGGAACACCAAACTGAATATGGCTTTGCAAAGCTTGGCTTCAAACAGTCTCTACCTGACAACTCCCTATTTGTGAAGGGTGAAGGGAGCTCCTTTGTGGCTCTGTTAGTATATGTAGATGACATAATTGTAGGCAATGCTGATTTAAAGTTGGTACAACAACTTAATGCCAACTTTCAAATTAAAGATCTAGGGCCCTTGAAATACCAGATTAAAGATCTACGGCCGATGAAATACTTCCCAGGATTGGAAGTGGCCAAACAAAGGAAAGGGGTTGCAATTTCTCAAAGAATATATGCTCTTGAACTATTAAAAGATGCAGGTTTTATAGATGCCAAACCAGTCCACAGTCCTACCACTCCATCACACAAGCTAAGCAAAGATGGAGGAAATCTACTTGATGATAACACTCAGTACAAAAGGTTGGTAGGCAAGATTTTATATCTAACCATCACGAGGCCTGATATAAGCTTTGCTACACAACAATTCTCTCAGTTCTTGGATACACCTACTGATCTACACCTTCAAGCAGCTCACAGGGTCTTGAGATATATAAAAGCTGCCCCTGGTCAGGGCCTTTTCTTTCCAGCCATGACCTGCAATTAAAGGATTTCTTTAACTCAGATTGGGGAGCATGTATGGACACTAGAAGATCCATTACTAGTTTCTGCATTTTCCTAGGAGGAGCCTTGATCTCATGGAAGTCTAAGAAGCAGGTGACAATCTCAAAGTCCTCCTCAGAAGTTGAGTACAGGGCCTTAGCAGCTACCACCTGTGAAGTACAATGGCTGTTTTACTTGCTTGCTGAGTTTTAGTTTTCATTATGATGCTCCAGCAGCCCTCTACTCTGACAGCAAGTTAGCCATAGCCATTGTTAAGAATTCCGTTTTCCATGAGCGCACCAAATATATTGAGCTTGACTGCCACCTGGTTCGTGAGAAATTACAAAAAGGGATCATTAAGCTTTTTCATGTAACTTCTACAAATCAGTTAGCAGATGTTTTCACAAAAACACTGTTAACTCAAAGACCTTGTCAAAGTTATGCGCAAAAAGGATTCCAGTTTTATGAAGGAATACTGTCCTAAAAGGAATAGATATTGAAGAATACTAGTTCTAAGAGAAATTGTTATTGAAGATATTCTAGTTCTAGTTTGATTAGGAATAGCATTATTATTCACAAATCTGTTAGAAGTAGCTACTATAAATAGGGGTTGTCCTTTATCACAGAGATCAGGCATTCAACATTGATCTTATGAGGTATGAGAGTCTTTGAGAATAGGATACTAAATTCCTCTAGAAAGTAGTACATGTGTTTAGGTTTCAATAGTTTGGTAGGAAAGATCATTCTATTGTGTAATCTCAAGTTCCAAACAGTGTACTTTAAATATTAAGCTTTTAGTGGATTTAGGCAAATTCTCAAATTGAGAAGTGCCTCGCAGATTAGGGTTATTTGTCCGAACTGCGTTACAAATTGTTTGTGTTACAACGTCAGTTTCAACATTACTGTGTGTTGCGCTTATATATATTTCAATTGGTATTAGAGCCAAACTGCTTAAGTTACTAGCAGGATCCTAATGGAGTATCCAAGAGAAGGACTATCTAACACAGAAGTGATACAGTGGTATGAGTGCAAAGGGCTTGGACATATCCAGTCAGAATGTCCAACATACTTTAAAAGGAAGAACAAAACATATGTGACAACACTAAGCGATGACCCAGACAGTGAAGAAGATACCGACACTAATTTCGTAGCATTCGCCACAAATCATGAGAATGACAACGGAAACGAAAGTGATATACAAGAACCGCTAGAGTCATATACACAGCTGCATGCTAAATGGGAACAAATCATCAAAGTAAATCTTGAACTCATACATGAAAATCAGTTTCTAAAAGATGAAAATAGAGTAATGAAAAACGCCTTAAAGATACTCAGAATGAATTAATGGAATCGAAAGGCAGAGAGGCCAAACTGTTACAAGAGATCAAGGCACTAAATGAGAGGCCTAGATCTCCAAATCCAGCATCCATTGAAAGTCATTCTTCTGAAATTCCTGAAGTGTCGCAACATCACTTCCAACACCGAAGAAGGATCAGATGCTATTATTGTCACAGACTGGGGCACATAAAAGCATACTGCTTCAAAAGACAAAATGATCTGTATTACAGACAAATCAACAGAGATTGGTCAGTACAAAGCAAGAAAATCTGGGTTAGAAAAGATCAGAATGTTGCCTACACCTCAAAAACTAGCAAAGAACAAAACGTATGGTATTTTGACAGCGGGTGTTCAAGGCATATGACTGGAAATCCAGAAAATTTGAAAAACATTCAGTATAAGAATGAAGGACATATTACATTTGGAGATGGAGAAAAAGGCCAGATCATTGCAAGCGGCATCTTGAATGTCCATGGGCTGCCTAGGTTGCCAAAAGTCCTCCTAGTACAAAGTCTAAAAACAAATCTAATCAGCATAAGTCAGCTTTGTGAAGATGAACTCAAAGTAGAATTCTCTAAAGACAATTGCACTATGTTTAATAAGAATCACAAGTGTATCATGATAGGAAAAAGGTCCGCAAACAAATGCTATACATGGGATGGTGACCTATCTGGTTTACATACAACCAACAAGCAAAAACAATCACGGCACCAACATATGGGACACAAATTCTCATGACATCAAAGGGGACCAAGAAATATTCCTAGACTATTCAGGTTATTCATCAAACAGTAAGACTTTTAGTGTAGACAGTACAATGGAATCCATGAATGTAGTTATTAATGACACAATTTCAAGAATAACCACTAATGATGACGAAAGTCCCAGAGTTGTTGAAACAACTGTTCCAACACCTCGGACTACTGTTATGTAGAATCACAAAACAGAACCAGATGAAGAAATGGATGATGGCTCTGCAACGATCATTATGAGCCCTGTTCTGATTTCATAGGAACCCTACCAAAATATTCAAGATGAACGCGAACCACCTCCAGCCTGTTTGTGCGAGACAGCCCTGGAGGGCGAGGGTGGTCTAGCGGTGGCAACGGAGCGTTTTCCGGCGATGATTATGTCACCGGAAATTGGAGAAATTCCAGTTTCGTCTAGGTTATCCCATGAAGATCAGATCGGATATTTTAGAGATCATTTGGAAGAGCTTTCACCGGATTTTGTGCTATTTCCAGAAATTAATGATGGCGCAGAGTTAGTATGTTCGAAATTCCGGTCAGGAAATCTAGATGCGATCGTAAGGCAGAAGAGACCGATTGATGGAATCTTAGTGGATTCATGTTTGCATGGCCAGAATACATCTCCAATTAAAAGAATTCTCGACAGAATGTCTCAGCTTTGGCGTCGCGCTCCTCCGATGTGCAATCTCCCTTCGGGATGTCGCGATTGAGGAGAAGTGATGAAATCAAAGGCGTTGGCGGTAATAACAGAGGAAGAATAATTCAGAGGAGAAATTAGCTGTGATAGGCTGATTTAATTGGGAATTTTTTTAAAAAAACAAATCATACTCAAAGATAGCACTCACTAATAACAGAGATACATGGAATCGGTTAAAGGGGAAATGAGTCAAATGCCAAGCTTTTTATGGAATCAAGGATTTTGCCAAAAATTTGATAAAGGGGGAGATTGTTGACTCAAAGACCTTGTCAAAGTTATGTGCAAAAAGGATTCCAGTTCTATGAAGGAATACTGTTCTAAAAGGAATAGATATTGAAGAATACTAGTTCTAAGAGGAATTGTTATTGAAGATCTTCTAGTTCTAGTTTGATTAGGAATAGCATTATTATTCACAAATCTGTTAGAAGTAGCTACTATAAATAGGGGTTGTCCTTTATCGCAAAGATCAGGCATTCAACATTGATCTTGTGAGGTATGAGAGTCTTTGAAGATAGGATACTAAATTCCCCTAGAAAGTAGTACATGTGTTTAGGTTTCAATAGTTTGGTAGGAAAGATTATTCTATTGTGTAATCTCAGGTTACAAACAGTGTACTTTAAATATTAAACTTTTAGTGGATTTAGGCAAATTCTCAAATTGAGAAGTGCCTCGCAGATTAGGGTTGTTTGCCCAAACTGCGTTACAAATCGTTTGTGTTACAACGTCAGTTTCAACATCACTGTGTGCTGCGCATATATATATTTCAAACTCACTGCCCAAATTCCTTCCACATCTATGTTTCCAAGCTTGGATTGTTCAATCTATACAATCCAGCTTGTGAGGGGCTATTAGGAGAAGCGGATGGTTGACACCTGGCAGCATCTCAAGCTTCTTCCTTTGTTATTTTTCTGTTGCAGTTAGTTAGCTTCCAACATTAGATTTCCATCTTTTTTTTCTTCCAAGTTCAGGCTTTGTATATATGTTGAACTCCTTCCCTTCTTGAGTTAGTTGAATGAAGCAGTTTTCTTTCTTCCTTCTTTTTCTTTCGTTCCTTGTTCTCTCTAGCAGCACTGATTCGCCACATGAAGTATACCAAAATGGTTGAATCAGGAAGTGTATGCTAACTAGACTTGCAAGAATGCCTCAGCTTGTAGGGAAGGGGTGGTTATGTTCCCTGGGTTGATTTCTTGATTGGAGGTTAGAAGAGGTCCAACCGACACATTTAGGTGTCAAAGAGGATGCCCTAGCGGCAATAATTTACCCAAACCCCTACTTTGCTAGGTATGTCATCCAATTGTTGACCCAAGAGTTAGCAAACATTATCAACGAGTAGTCTAACAACAATGGGGGTAGCAACCTAGCTGCGCGTAATAGGCGACTGCGAGCCCAACACCCAAGCTAACCCACTTCCCACTTTGCTGAGCACTCCTCAAGGCGAGAGGAGCTTGCACGAAGGATCGTGTTTGTGACATCCCGATATTTCAAATTCCGGCGAGGTACCGACGGGCAGTGGCAGCGTGGCTGATTTCCGACGAAGCAAATGAAGGCGACGATGGGCAGTGTAGCTTGGCAGCAACGAAGTGTGGAGGTTCATAGGTAAGGTGTATATTATTGTTGGTGAACTTGTTATGGTGATTAAACATGAAGATGAAGATAATATGTTGATATTGTTGAAAATGGTGAAGTTTAATGAAAGGTATTTAACACTAATAATGATGAGGTTTATGAATATTGTTGAAAATGGTGAAGTTTAATGAAAGGTATTTAACACTAATAATGATGAGGTTTATGAATAATGATGTCATTATGGCTTGTTAATGATGTGGTGAATGATGATGCTATGATCAATGATGGAGGAGCCAATGACCTTGTGGTCTAATAACACCAAGTTGCTCTCCCATATGGAAGGTTGTAGGTTCGAACTTCAGTGGAGGCGGTATTAACTCTTTGTGCTTCAGTATGTTGAGAAAGTAGTTATGAACTGATACTATATTGTAACAGAGTTAGTAGTACTCAAAAAAATGATTAATGATCGAGGAAAATGATGATTGGTTGGTGATTAAGGTTCATATTGGCGACTAAGGTTAATACCAATGATGATAATGGTTATAATGAAGTGATTATGTTAATAATGGGTTAAGATGATGGTTATGATTAAGTAATGGAAATTATTGGTCTAAGGATTATGGTGATTATGGAAGGAATTAAGTGCTTATAATAATGGTGATAATCATTTGTAATGGAGATTTAAGGATGATGGACTAAAGATGATTATGGTGATTACAAATGTGACTAATTAATGATTAATGATTAGTAATAATGGTATTAATGAATAGTAATAATGGTATTAATGAATGAATAATGACTATGGAGGTGATTATGAATAGTGATGATTAAGTGATAATTATGGGTTATGGTGATGTTATAATTTAATGATGATGATGATGGGTATGACTGCTGGAACTAGATTATATATATATATATATATATATATATATATATATATATATATATATATATATATATATATGTATATATATAGCATACTTAACAGTTAACACAAGTCTATACTAATGTATTTGGGAGTTTGGTAGATGGAAGATAGATTATGTGGGTATGAAGAGAGAATGGATTTGTGAACCAGATGGAGATGGAGTCAAGAATGCATGTCTTTCTTGGATGTTTGTTCCATTGCCACGAAGCTAGATGAAACCATGAGGGTGGTATTGATGAGGATACGGAAGTTTGTGCTTCGGTGGAAAGGGGTGGAGGTGACCCCGGCAAAGAAGCAGGAGGAATTTCAGTAGACATACTATAGATTAACCCAAAAAAAAAAAGTCAATAGATACGACATCGTTTCTTATTTTTAAAAATTTTAATAATAATAAGTTGAGTCGTACTAGATCATTATGAAATAATAAAATATAATAATAATAATAATAATAATAATAATAATAATAATAATAATTACAAAAACAAAAGATGAGGGATCATTTTTTATCCCTCATTGGAAGTGGAACAATGAAGGAGCCTTGGGCTCCCTCTATAAAAGGTTCCTTTAGAAAAGATTATTTTTTTTTTGAATATATTTCTTAGTAGAGGCGGTTTGTTCAAGCTGTTGCTCCAAACCATTGAGTTATCAAAAAATAAAAAATGATGGATCTGTCATTTACCAAACAAGGTCTTGGCTTCTATGACATAAAAAATGGTTGGGGTTGTGTAATGGCGCAAATTATGTTGTGGACTCGTGTTCATAGTGCACGGATCCATAGCATAATGATTGGTGTCAGGGACGGATGCACATTGTTACTGCAGGGGGCCTTGGCCCCCCTCCCAAAAAAAAAATTAATAATACTAATATGAGTGAAGCCTTTGGAGGATTTAGAAGATTTATTAACTGGGCGTCTTGGGCCCTTGGCCCCCCTTCCCCAAAAAAATATTAATAGTATATTATTATTTTTTTGGCCCCCTTCACCCAAGTATTAATCGTTATGCTGTGGAACTGTGTCCATCTTGCAAGGTAAACACGATTCTATGTTCATAATTACTGAATTATATGTTCATAATTATAAAGCTATATATTCATAATTTTAGAACTTTATATTCATAATTATTGAACTCTATATTTATAATTACAGAACTCTATGTTCATAATTACTGAATTATATGTTCATAATTATAAAGCTAAATTTCATAATTTTTGAACTTCATATTCACAATTATTGAATCTATATATTCATAATTACAAAGTTATATGTTCATAATTATGTTCACAACTATATGTTCATAATTTTTTAACTATATATTCATAATAATGAACAATTTTACTATTGATTGCAATGCATCTTGTGTCATCTACTAAGTTGCTTATTTAAATTTAAGAGATAGTGGATGAGATGAATTAGTTGCAACTGTGAAGTCTTTTTGTGAAACTGTCAACATAATTGTGCCGAATTTTGATACTCAATATATTGCAAGAAGAGGAAGTCTAGGCATCAACAAGATGAATTAACAATTGTGTATCATTACAAATTTGATATTTTTAAAGGAAAATGGTCAAATAGACCCTTTAACTTTTGATAAAAAAGCAATTAGGCCCTCAAACATTAAAAAGCTTCAATTACACCCTTGAACTCTTTAAAGTTGTACAATTAGACCTATTTACAGGTTAACAGGTAAAAAAATTTTAAAAAAATATTTTTTTAATTCAATTTTTGCCCGCTCGTCGCCGGCGACGTTCTGGAAAGTGGCATACGTCGCCTCCTTCCAGGTTTGATGATAAAACAATGGAATGAGGAGGCAAACGTCAGCAATATAGGTTTGACTGGAATGAGGAGGCAAACGTCAGCAATATAGGTTTGATGATAAAACAATGGAGTTAATTATTCTCAGTTCATCGTTAGATCCAAAAGAGATGCGTATATCATTCAGAATTGATGATATTTGCAAGTTGGTAGAGAAGTTTTACCATCAAGTTATGGAGTTAATTATTCTCAGTTCATCGCTATTCACTCTCAAATTAATATTGGCCCCCGCACCAACAAATCCTGGCTCCGTCCCTGATGGGTGTAATGGACCATCGGAGTGATATTGCAACTTTTGAAATCTCTAGTGATCTGTCTCTGGTGGCTTCATCTCGAGCAGCATCCTCCCAGGTGACTTATCTCGTGTTGAAAAGCTAAACAGATCACCGAGGCATCTTCAGAAAAGTATGCAGTTGGAAGAAAACATGTTACATGAATCAAGGATGATCTATATTAATGATCCAAATTAGACCAATGGTGAGTTTGAATTCACGGGAAATGAGATTCGAACTATAGCAAGTATACAATACTTAATTTTTTGCCTAAGAACATTTTCATTCAGTTCCACCGAGTTGCTTATTTATATTTTCTAGCTATTGCTGCTCTAAACCAGCTTCCACCGCTTGCAGTATTTGGTAGAACTGTGTCTCTGTTTCCTCTTCTATTTGTGCTATCTGTGACAGCTATAAAAGATGGTTATGAGGACTGGAGTAGACATAGATCAGATCAAAATGAGAATAATCGAGAGGCTCTAGTCCTTCAATCTGGTGAATTCCAACTGAAAAGATGGAAGAAGATTTTTGTTGGTGAGGTTGTGAAGATCCATGCTGATGAGACGTTTCCTTGTGACATGGTGCTATTAGGGACAAGTGATAATAGTGGAATTGCTTATATACAGACAATGAATTTAGATGGTGAATCAAACTTGAAGACACGGTATGCTAGGCAAGAAACAACTTCATTAGTTGATGAGTGGGCAGAAATATCTGGGATTATAAGATGTGAACAGCCTAACAGTAATACCTATGAGTTTACAGCAAAACATGAATATCTATGTTGAACACTGCAGTATCTCCATCTAAAAGGAGCAGGCTGGAAACGTACATGAATCGGGAAACCATTTGGCTATCTATTTTTCTTTTCATTTCATATTTCATATTGTGCCTAGTTGTAGGAGTTGGCATGGGTTTATGGCTGAAGCCTACAAGGAACAGCTTGAAACTTTTCCATATTACCGGAGAACCTATTTTGATAATGGGAAAATTGGAAAGAAAGTATACCAATACTATGGGATTCCCATGGAAACCGTTTTCTCCTTATTGAGTTCCATCAAAGTCTTTCAGATCATGATACCTATCTCTCTCTATATCACTATGGAGTTGGTAAGATTGGGACAGTCGTATTTCAGGGTGAATCACCATATGAACAAGCACTGGTTGCCGCAGTTTCTGCTTATGGGTATACACTTTTGAGTGGACTTCAGGGCATATTTCAATTGATGTCAATGGTGAGAAACTAAGATTGGATGTGTTGGGACTGCATGAGTTTGACAGTGTGCAAAAAAGAATGTCGTTATCAAATTACCAAACAATACTGTAAAGGTGTTGGTTAAATGTGCTGATACTTCCTCGCGAGGTTAACACAATGTGATTGGATCTAGTGTTACAAGCCCCCTGATGGGATTATTGATCTCCTTGAGGATGATAGTGCTACAATGACTACTACTGTGAGCAGTGTCTAGACTACTTATGCTTATATTATTATTGTGCCTCTCGGTGATTATATATTATCAAAACTTGACAGGATAATAATAATCATCTTCATCTTCATCGTCATCTTCATCTTCATCGTCATCGTATCTAGACCGACTTTTGCAATAGTGATTGATACACATATGAGATGATCACTATTGGCCATAGGCAGGGTACTATTCCTCTGGCACATATTGATACACTGTGGCAGAGTATTGTCCCTATTGATCATATTGCAATTTGGGGATCAATTGTTAATCACATATGGATGCATGGTGGTGGTGGACTCTATAGTGATCTTCCCTAATTATGGTCCAATATACCAATTGATACTTACTCATATTGCAATTTGGGGATCAATTGTTAATTACATATGGCTGCATGGTGGTGGTGGACTCTATAGTGATCTTCCCTAATTATGGTACAATATACTAATTGATACTTACTCATATTCCAATTGGGGGATCAATTGTTAATTACATATGGCTGCATGGTGGTGGTGGACCCTATAGTGATCTTCCCTAATTATGGTACAATATACTAATTGATACTTACTCATATTGTAATTTGGGGATCAATTGTTAATTACATATGGCTGCATGGTGGTGGTGGACTCTATAGTGATCTTCCCTAATTATTGTCCAATATACCTATTGATACTTATATTGCAATTTGAGGATCAATTGTTAATTACATATGACTACATGGTGGTGGTGGACTCTATAGTGATCTTCCCTAATTATTGTCCAATATACCTATTGATACTTATATTGCAATTTGAGGATCAATTGTTAATTACATATGACTACATGGTGGTGGTGGACTCTATAGTGATCTTCCCTAATTATTGTCCAATATACCAATTGATACTTATATTGCAATTTGAGGATCAATCGTTAATTACATATGACTGCATGGTGGTGGTGGACTCTATAGTGATCTTCCCTAATTATGGTACAATATACCAATTGATACTTACTCACTCATATTGCAATTTGAGGATCAATTGTTAATTACATATGGCTGCATGGTGGTGGTGGACTCTATAGTGATCTTCCCTAATTATGGTACAATATACCAATTGATACTTACTCATATTGCAATTTGGGGATCAATTGTTATTTACATATGGCTACATGGTGGTGGTGGACTCTATAGTGATCTTCCCTAATTATGGTACAATATATCAATTGATATTTACTCATTGCAATTTGGGGATCAATTGTTAATTACATATGTCTGCATGGTGGTGGTGGACTGTATAGTGATCTTCCCTAAGGTACAATATACCAATTGGTTAAGTTGCCAACTTACTGGCTCACCATTGTACGTATAAAGTTTTGGCGTTGCTTCCTCGCTTTATTTTCAAGGCAATACATCCAACTTTCTGGCCTTCTGATATACAGATAGCTAGTGAAGCAGAGAGATGTTGAGACCTCGTTCTTTGTTGTCCTAGACAGATCAATATACCAGCTGATGATCAACGATGGATCACGATGGATGGCCAAGGTTTAGAAGAAAACATTGCTGGATTCCACAACTGATACGAGGTATATTTCTTTTCCAAAAAAAAAAAAAACTGCTCAAATATATTTATGAACACAATAATCCAGATGGCAAGCTAGGATTTACAACATAGCAAAGTAATGTGACATTTCAAAATTTAAATTTCTATGTTTGATTCATGTTATATTAGGAAATATAACATTACTCAAGAATGAAACATACCATACACATAGCTTCATAGGATTTTGAAAGAAATGTGATTCCCTTACCTTTCTTAGGGTATTTTAGATTACATTGAATGTTTGTAAATTTTATCATTTTAATTTTAATTATTAAAAAAAAATATTTTTTATGTCAATTTAAGAAGAAAAATCATGCACTTTAAATTTGACCTAGATGAAAAATGACAAAATTGTCTATCACATTTTTTAGGCTGGTGAGACTCAATCCTTGGTCGTTCTTCCAAACTTTCACATTTATGACCAGTTGAGCTGTCCATGTGGGTTGTTAATCTTAGACGTTGATTTAGGCAATATCAATGGTTCTAATTTAAGCACACAAATCACGCACCTTAAGAAGTAAAACAACGCACCTAAAATTGTAAATTAATGCACCCTAAGTTTCTTCAAAATGCACTTTTAAGTTCTCAAGTGAAGAACTAATGCCTCTTAAGCACAAAAGCTACGGTCCTTAATAATGAAAATTATGCATCTAAAACTTTAGACCAATGCACTTAAGTTTCAACAACTAACGAATTCTAAGCATAAACATCATGCATCTTAAGCACAACAATCACGCATTTTAAGAAAAAAAAAATCGCACACCTTATGAAGAAAAACCATGCGCCTTAAAATTTGACCAAGATCAAATTGCCACCTCATTTTTTAATCATTGTTAATCCTAGATATTGATATTGATTTTCATAAGATCAATGACTCTAATTTCACCACATAATTGCACCAAAACTAGTCAACCATAGGCGGACCTAGCATGGGGGCAGCTGCCCCCACTCACCCCACTCCTAGCCCTTCTAAGTATATGTGTATATATATATGTATAGTACAGCTTTTAGGTATATGTATTTGAAAACGAATAATTTACACAATAGATTAGTTAGTCCAGTTGGTAGGGGTGTGTACTATGTTTTGAAAGGTCAGGATTTCGAATCCCCTTCTCAAATTATCTATTTTTTAGCTAGCTTCCAAAAGCTCTTTATGGCTTTTTGACTTTCAAGTTTCAGCAGCTCATCCTCTCCCCCTCCCTCTTTCTCTCTCTCAGTTTCAAGAGCTCCTCTCTCTCTCTCTCTCTCCCTCTCTCTCTCTCTCTCTCCCTCTCTCTCTCTCTATATATATATATATATATATATATATATATATATATATATATATATATATATATATATATAATTCTTTTTTATATTAATAATGACATGTGTAATTTATAACATATTTTTTATTTGAATTATTTTATTAAATTAATTATATTTTATTATGAATATTTTTATAAAATTTTAACGTATTTTATTTTTCACTTATATCCGCCCCCACTGAACAAAATTCCTGAGTCCGCCACTGTAGCCAACAACATGTAAATCCATATATATATATATATATATATATATATATATATATATATATATATATATATATATATATATATATATATGGATTTACATGTTGTTGGCTACAGTGGCGGACTCAGGAATTTTGTTCAGTGATATATATAACCAAACAGAATTATATTACATACTTTAATTTTAACCCATTACAGAAATTTAATGTTCTCAATAATCTAACATTCTAACAGTATAATATTTTCTAAAATAATATATATTGCGTGAACCAAACGGTCCTTAATGCAAAGACAGGCGTATATCATACATTTAATGCCATCTGGAATTATTAATTTTGTATGTTCCGTAAATCACGAATGTTGTCACCATCTCCCTCCAGAATGACGACATTATTTTGCAAAAGATATCTTCAAGGAAGGTGCTAGATTTTTTTCTTCAAAAAAAGAAAAAAAAAAAAAAAAAAAAAAAAAGGAAGGTGTCAAGGTGCTAGATTGCAATGGTGCTTTTCCTGTTTTGCCCTTTTTTTTGGTTTGTTGTTAATTTTTTTATATCTTTATTTTTATTTTATTTTTAAAAAAAAAAGGTACAAATAAGTCAATGAACTATTTGTGAATAGTAATTAAGTTAACGAACCTGAATAAATTCTAAATTCATTCATGAACTCAAGAAAAAAGAACAATTAATATTTTTAACAGGTTAAAATGAGTTTGCACGGATTGAGATGTTTTGTTTATATTATTATTATTATTATTATTATTGTTGTTGTTGTTGTTGTTGTTTATGTTGTTAAATCATGTTTTCATCATTAACCAACACTACCTCACCTAAACTTTCAGGTGGCGCTGCCCATTGCCACGCCACCGGGGAGCTGCCCTCGACGACCAAATGCTAAAACATGACGGAGGGAGAGTCTCGATTTGTCGTCGCTTGTTCTACCTTCGCCGAAAACAGAGGGCACTGCTGCTGACCGCCATCGTCGTCGACCAAGAGAGAGGGGAGGTTGAGGGCTGTTGTTGGAGGTCGCAAATTGCGTCGCAGATTTGCTGCTATTGTTGTTCGCCTAATGCTGCTCGCTGGAGTCCATGGAGGTTCGCGGGAGAATCTGCCTTGTCACCGTTGATCTCCTGCCGTAAGCCACTGCCGTCAACCACCAGACGGAGGAAGACATTAGCGAAGAGAGAAAAAGTGATAATAATTGCTCTTTTATATAATAATAAAATATAAAATAAAATATACACATGCCATCCCAATCAACAAGCACAAATTTGTTTTTTTTTTTTTTTTTTTTTTAAAGCACATAGAGTCAATAGTCAAAGTTCAACTTGATACCATTAGATTATTACAAGGTCCTTGGTCACAAACTTGTTGTTAACATAAAATAATTACATTTTTTGAAATTTATTTGAGTTTGATGGCTTAATTGCTATTCTTAAAATAATTCAATGACATATTTATATATTTTTCTTTTTATTTTTCTTATTATTGTATATTTTGTTAAAATCTTAAACATAAAATTTGTATTATTAAAAATAAATTGTACTATTTAAAAAATCTTATCAAATCGATTAAAATAAGTAGTTTAACTTTTATATTATCTTATAAATTATAAATGTAATAATAAAATATTAAAATAACAAAAAAAAGTGTGTTTTGAATATATAATTATTAATGTGCAATCTAACTATCAGTTTAAACTTTTATTTGAGAGAAAATGGCACTTTTTCCCCCTATGTTATATACTTATAGCACTTTTTCCCCCTCAATTATTTATGTAAGCACATTAGCCCCCTCAATTATTTTAAAAGTGGTGGTTTTCCCCCCTAATATATTAAATTGACATTTCTACCCTTAAAGTAAACATTTTATTTATTTTACTTCTCCAACAAATTATTGCGTATATGTAGCGATTACCACGGTTCGGTTCGAACTGAACCAGACACTATAACAATCGAATTAAAAATTTCAGTTATGATTCAGATCTAGAACCCAATATTTGGATTTCAATTTATTAAATTTAAGAATAAAAAAAAAACTGGATCATGAACCGGCGGTTCTGGATCCCGTTCGCGATTTTGAACCGTCTTTATTTTAAAATTTTATTTTTTATTTTAAAATAGTTTAAATTCAACAATAAATGTATTTTATTTTTTCAGTTCGGAACATGAACCGGCCATTCCAGTTCGCGATTTTAATAAACTCTAAATATCGCGTTTTGATTATAAATTGTAATTGGAATATTTTGGTTTGGTTACTATAGTATCTGGTTTGAACCAAATTATAGTAATAATTTATTGGAGAATAAAAATAAATGAAATATTTATTTTAAGGGTAAATATGTCCATTTAACATTTCAGGGGGAAAAAGAGCCACTTAAATAATTGAGGGGGAAAAAATGCTATAAGTATATAACATAGGGGGAAAAAGTGCCATTTTCCCTTTATTTGAGATAGAACATATACTTTACTTTGATATTAGAGTCATGCCAACGGACATGTGTCCTATCATTTGATACGAAAAAGATCATTGGAGAAAAAATTAAAACTAAACAAAAATAAAATTATCCTCCTCATACACCATCACCACTATACGTTAACTCAAATGTACGCAACAGAAGAAGAAGAAAAAAAAAAAAAAAAAAAAAAAAAAAACCCACCACTACACGTTAACTCAAAATGTATGCACGGAAGAAAGAAAAAAAAAAAAAGAGAGCTCTCCAAATTCCTCCAAAGGTTCTCAGAGCTCTCCTTATTGGATGCCCTATTGACCTATTCACATGTGAAAAAAAAAAAAAAAACCCACCACTACACGTTAACTCAAAATGTATGCACGGAAGAAAGAAAAAAAAAAAAGAGAGCTCTCCAAATTCCTCCAAAGGTTCTCAGAGCTCTCCTTATTGGATGCCCTATTGACCTATTCACATGTGAAAAAAAAAAAACCCACCACTACACGTTAACTCAAAATGTATGCACGGAAGAAAGAAAAAAAAAAAAAAGAGAGCTCTCCAAATTCCTCCAAAGGTTCTCAGAGCTCTCCTTATTGGATGCCCTATTGACCTATTCACATGTGAAAAAAAAAAAAAAACCCACCACTACACGTTAACTCAAAATGTATGCACGGAAGAAAGAAAAAAAAAAAAAAAGAGAGCTCTCCAAATTCCTCCAAAGGTTCTCAGAGCTCTCCTTATTGGATGCCCTATTGACCTATTCACATGTGGGGACCATTTTTTTTTATTTTTGAAGGGTCGGGACACATTTTCTGACCTAAACAATTGATGCGGAGCGATGAAAACTTTAATGTAGGGCCCAGTCACGACTTGCAACTTGTTTGTTTTTTTTCTTGTTGTTGACACATTGTAGTCTTTTAGTCCATAGGCATCCATCTGCAAATGGACCGCACACTGCTCCACTTATTTTTTTGAGTTAATTACCAAAATGTCCCTTGATTATAGCGAAATTACCAATTTAGTCCTTGACTATTTTTTTAACAAATTAAGTCCCTCAACTTTAAAAATTTTAACTAATTTGGTCCTTCGTTAGTTTGACCGTTAGTCAACCGTTAACTGGGACTAAATTGATAATTTTGTTATAGTAAAGGGATCATTTTGGTAATTAACTTTAGGGGTGGACAATTCGGTTTAGTTTTCTCAAATCGAACAGTACCGAACCAAACCGAGCTAGTTTGGTTTGGTAATATACCGAACAACCGAACGGTTTTGGATTCTTGTATACCGAACGGTTCGATAAAAAACCGATCCGAATTGTTCGGTAAAAAATTAAACTGAACCGAATACCGTTTGATTTTTTTTTAGAATAATAATAAATAAATAAAAAGCAAATCCAAGTCCCTTGCTGTTTGCTCTCCCTTCAACTCATATTATCACGGGTATCTCTCGTAAATATTTTATTTGATTTCTAAGGTTTGTTATCAAAAGTTCTATACTATGTGTTATGTGTTTACATAGTCCATATCCAAAGTCTAATATATAACAAAATAGCAATCCAAAGTTCAAACAGTATTCAGTTTGGTTCGGTTTTTATGGAATAATTCAGTTCGGTTCGAGTTTTTACCGAACTGTTCAGTATACAAGAATCTATTACCGTTGTTTGTTCGGTATATTACCGAATCTAACTAGTTTGGTACGGTTCGGTTCGAGAAAACTGAACCGAATTGCCCACCCTTAAAGTTAATTACCAAAATGGTCCCTTGACTATAGCGAATTACCAATTTGATCCCAAGTTAACGGTTGACTAATGGTCAAACTAACGGAGGACTAAATTGGTTAAAATTTTTAAAGTTGAGGGACTTAATTGGTTAACAAAAATAGTCAAGGACCAAATTGATAATTTCACTATAGTCAAGAGACCATTTTGGTAATTAACTTTGTTTTTTTTTTTTGTTCGGGAACGCTTATCTGTCCTTGGCATCTCACATTCATTTTTTTTGACAACTCCACATTTTAAGACCCGAAAGCTTCAAAACCCGAAATATGATGCATCGGCGGCATCAACCAAACTGATTTCAACACAAAAAAAAAAATGAAAATAAAGAAGCATGAGCGAACTGACGGCCCTCTCTCAGATGAAGACCGCAGCCCGGATCTGGATGCGTTCAGTAGTCCAAGATCTATTAGACCTCTCTTCAACCTGCTCATGCCGGCCGGCCTATATCCAACGGTTTCAGCTCAAATAGGGAAGCTCTTAACAGATCTCCGTTGACTGGGAAAATCTACTCATTTTAGGTGAGATCAAAATTAGTTTTTGCTTATATTCTTTCGGATCTCCGTTCAAACCCGTGTTCTACTATACAGGCGTTAATAAATATCACGATCTACTCTTCCGGCCTCCATCTTCAATTCTGCTCTTCATACATGTCTTAACTACAACAAGGTATCTCTCTCTCTGTGTCTCTCTGCTCTTCATACATGACTTTTGCTAATTCATTTTATATCCTTTTATTTTGTTTTCATGGATTTGTATATATTGTTAAATACTTAAGCATAAATTTTATATTATTAAAAATAAATTATATCATTCCAAAATACAAATCAAAACAAGATTAATATTGAATATATATTAATTAAAATATAAACTACATACAACAGAATTAAAATGATTACATCTAAAATTGAATTGTATTGAAATTATTATTATTTACCTAACTAATTATATTTTATATTCAACTAATTAAATATAAACTAATAAGCTTTTAAATTTTGGAAAACCAAATTATTTTTAATGTAGAAGTAAAAATTTAGTGTAATGGATTGGATATTAATAAAATTTGGTGTCAAAATATTATTTTTGTTGCGTAGATTTTTAGTGTTTGGTCCTAATTTTAGAGATGGTCTTTAGGTTAGATTCAATAGTAGTTTCTCAATGGTCTTTGTAAGTTTTTTTTTTTTTTTTCTGGTGGTGGTGGTGGTGGTGGTGGTGGTGGTGGTGGTGGTGGTGGTGGTGGTGGTGGTGGTGGTGGTGGTGGTGCATATAAATGTAAATTTTTTATTCAACTAACTCAATATGTACAATAATCACTAGGGCAAACCCTAGGACAATAACAAAGGAAAAAGCATACCTCAAAAGAGGTAAATGGCCCAAAGGCCCAATATCAAAACATAAAATTTTAAAAGCCCATTAATTCAACCTCCTGTAGCAGCCCAAAGAATTTCAAAAAGTCCTTGTCCAAAGCCCAAGAAAACGTCAGAAACCAGCCTTGAAGAGTGAAGACAATTATCCCCCGTAAGCATTACGGTCCAATAAATCCATGCCCATGAAACAAAGGAAAAAGCATACCTAAAATGAGGTAAACGGCCCAAAGGCCCAACATCAAAAAATAAAATTTTAAATGTCCAAAAATCAAAAGCCCATTAATTCAACCCTCTGTAGCAGCCCAAAGAATTTCAAAAAGTCCAAGTCCAAAGCCCAAGATAACTTCAGAAACCAGCCTTGAAGACAATTACCCCAATAGTTATGCTGTGCAACCGAATGTACCATGCGCATGGTGCATACGGTTCAAAACGACGTCGTTTTGATTAAAAACGCGCGTCCCACTTAAAAAAAAAAATCAGGTTCGACTCTCAGCAATAGCATTATTGTGGATATATAGTTATGAATTGTGGATATATAGTTATGAAATTGTGGTTATATAGTTATGAATTTATGGATATTTAGTTCATTCATTGTGGATATTTAGTTCAATCATATATTGTGGATATTTAGTTCATTCATTGTGGATTTTTACTTCATTCATTCATTCATTGTGGATTTTTACTTCATTCATTCACTGTGGATATATAGTTATGAAATTGTGGATATATAGTTATGAAATTGTGGTTATATAGTTATGAATTTCTGGATATATAAAAATGCTATTGCCGGGAATCGAACCTGATTTCTTCTTTAAGTGGGACGCGCGTTTTTTTAACCAAAACGGCACCGTTTTGCAACTGTATGCACCTTGCAAGGTGCATTCGGTTGCACAGCATAATGCGCAATTACCCCCCTTCAGCATTACGGTCCAATAAATCCAAGCCCAAGAAAAATTTCATCCCAGGCTGCCAAAATCTCAATGCCCAAAATTAGATCTATTTCTTTCCTTAGCCCCTTTAACTTAAAAAAAATCACCAATTGAGCCTAATCCACTTAAGGAGCCCACAGCCCACAACGGACAACACGGCCCAACATAAATATCTTCACAAATCAGTTTTTGAATCCAAAAACTAAATTTAAGTCCACTTGGGGCGAAAACCCAGGAGCAATGTCCAATAACCAGTTGAATACAATCCAATAATACGGCCCAGACTTGTAGTCCAAGGGGCCCACCACAGATCAACCCATAATGATTTTTGCGAGCTAAAAAGCCCGCTAAAATACGAGTCTAAAGGAGGTTGGCCCGCCCTGCCCTGCCCTGCTGTAATCCCGCGGGTTTTGAGGGGGCCCACAAAATTTTAAAAGTTTAAAATTATATTAAAAATTATAATATCAAATAGGTAATAAATGTATACTAATATAATTTTGATAGTTTTTTTTTTTTTAATACATAATTTGAATAGTTTAAATATATATTAATGCATTTGTAATTTGTTGAACTTATTATATATATAACAAAAATGTTAAAATTCAAAAGTTCTAAATTAACCCTTTCGTGTTTTCATGTTTCAAATATATACTTACAAAACACAAAATAATAATTTATCATATCTATTTTATAAATAATTGTATATTATATTGTAATTTAGTCCGACAAATCCAGCACTAAATACGAAACAAAACGATGTGCGTGGGAACAAAACGGAGTGGGTATGTACAGTTACGTACTGTGCGTGAATCTTTGCTAAGCTTTTCTCAGTTGTGACTCAATGATTATTAGTTTAAAAATTATATTATAAATATAAAATTATAAACATATAGTTCTGCAATTATGAATATAGAGATTCAGGGGTCGTTTACTTCATTTTTCTGTTTTTCCATTTCCAGTTTTCCATTTTTCGAATTCTCCAATTTTCCTTCTCCATTCCTCCAGTTTTCTATTTCTCCAATTTTCTAATTTTCATTCTCCATTCCTTCAGTTTTTCATTTCTCTAATTTTTTGATTTAGAATAATAATATTATTATTATGTAAAAAAACCGCCGGTGGTTATTTAAAGTGTATGACTACGTAAAAAAATTAATTAAAGTATGTACGACGGTTATTTAAAAGCCTGTTGTCTATTAAATGACGTAATATAAAAAAATATATAAGATGGTGGTTATTTTAAAAACATCCGTCTATTAATAACTTAGGGATGAAAAATATAATTTTTCCTAATAATAATAATAATTAAAGAAGAAGAGAAAGAAAAGGAGTGACAAATTAAAGAAGAAGAGAAAGAAAAAGAGTGACAAGTACGTAATAATAATAATAAATACAAGAAGAGCCTCAGCCCTCAGGCGCCGCATGCTGATAAAGAAAAATACACACCAACAAGATTCGAAACCGAAACCTCAAGGACAAGAGACACAGTTCACCCCTTATTTCCATTCCTCCATTTGGAGATGTTTGTTTTGGATTTCTCCAAATTCCTGAGAATTTGGAGAATGGAAATAGAATATGGATTTGGAGGAATAAATTTAGTAAACAAGTTTTTCATTTTCCATTCTTCCACTTCTCTAATTCTCTATTTTTTTGAAAAAACCTCCAATTTTCCATTTTAGTAAACAATCCCTCAATAATTGTGAATATGAAAGTTCAAAAATTATAAATATATAGCTTTATAATTATGAACATATAATTATGAATATAGAAAGCATAACGAAAGCATAACGATGGGCTAAAAAGCCTACCAAGTCGCTCAAAATTTCAAAGCCTACCCCACCCTTTTCACGGGATGAAACAGGCTTCATTTTGACAACTTTAATAGAATACATGCTATTTTATATACCTAATAATTGAAAAGTGAAGTAATTCAACATCAAATTAGATACACAATATAACTTATTAAAAAAATAGATATGATTGTCCAAATAGTGAAAAACATACTAAAGCTAACAAAAACAAAAAGTAGACTCATCCATCCTTATTCAAAGGTAAGCAAATCTTTCTTTGGGGATGAAGCAACCTTAAATCTCCAATCTCTAGGCCAAATGTCCCACCCAAAAGAGGTATCGGTAGACATTTGAGATATACCAAAAAAAAAAAACAGAAACCAAAGTAAAAGTATTTTGTAATATCAATGACATGGTAATTGAAGTACCAAATTATTCCAAACAGTTTCCCCAGATCAACAGTTGCTTTGCAATAATGATGCACAGATTTACGATAGATCTCGTGGCGCAGATGGACTCTTCCTTTCTTCCGGGTTGATTAGTAACCGCCTATAATTAGACGGAAAAGTAGATGGGTTGTTTTCTCTTGCTTGCGCGTGGTAAACCATATGAATGCTGGCATAGAATAACAGAGCCAGGGTCATGACAGCTAGGGCGATAAACATATTCTTTCTAGAGATTGAGCCGGTTATTGTAGATTCCTTCGCCATCACCAAATATCTGTTATTATAACACAGAACTTACAATGAGATATTCAGAAACGTTTGTAGTATATTCAGCAAGTCATAATTTCTCATGCAGTAACAAATGCAGCTAGTATATCTAGTTTAAAGTGCTTTTTAGTACACATTTATAAGACTATAGCTAAGTTAGTCGAACAATGAATTTACTAAACAGGGTCTTAAAAGATTGTATGATTCAAGTTTATTTAATTGAGTCGGCAAGGTTGATTGAGGCATGCCAACACAGCTCATTTCATTGGTGTAAAGGGTTTGATTAATGCCTGGCAATTAATCCTTTCAAGGGGGTGCATACTTTACAAATAGAGTTTCTTACCCCATTCTAACATAGTCCAGTGGTTTTACTCCATCCTCCCAACCACAACTCCACAACACCCTGTTCAAACCTTACAAGCAGCCCATGCTTTGGTTTATATTGGGTATGGTTTTGTAAAATCATCATTGGGGTTGTCCTTGAACTCTGCTTGAAGTATATAGCAGAAGGGTCAAATCAGGAAGTGTTTGCTAACTAGACTTGCAGGAACGCCTCAGCTTGTAGGGAAGGGGTGGGTATGTTCCCTGATTGGGGGTTACAAGGGGGTATACCTAGCAAGGTAGGGGTTGCCGCTAGGGCATCCCCTTCGACGGCTAAGGTGCCGATTGGAACCTAGCTACGCGTAATCGCCGACCACTAGCCCAACGCCCAAGGATCGTGTAAAGCTTAGAAAACTACTAATAGAATCTAGATGATTCATAATGCTCTGCAGAGATCTTAGAAACCCTATATCATAGACTTAATTCACACATACAAAACAAAAACTATAAATAGAAAAGGGGCATTCATTACTAACCTAGAGGTAAAAAGGGATCCGATCCCGATCCCGATCCTGGAGTTGTGCCGTTGAATCTGGAAGGGGCTGCGCCGGCTGCTCTATCATATCATTAGGGTTTTATAGGAGGCGTATGCAGTTTTTATATAGAATAAATTTCACTTTTGGTCTCACAACTTTTGATGTTCTATCACTTTTGATGCATAACTTTAAAATTTTTTGATTTTGATGCCTAATTATGTTATTTTTATCAATTTTGGTCCTTTTGGTCAAATTGACAGCGAAATGTTGCTGGATTTTATATTTTTAGAGGTAAAATCGTCATCCTAAGGAAACATCTTCAATATCTTAACAAAATCACTGTAAGATCATATTTATAGGTGTTTGATCGATGAGAATAATGGGGAAGACGGGCAGAAACCAGACAGATCTATGGGATTTATAGTTTCGACGATTGGCAAACTCCTCTTTTCCTCTTAATATGATTTTTCTTTTGTTTAAATATTGAAGTTCTTTCCATGGGATGACGATTTTTCTCTTAAAATATAAAATCTGAAAATATTTTACCGTCAATTTGGCTGAAAGGACTAAAACTGATAAAAATAACAAAGTTAGACACCAGAATTGAAAAAATTTGAAGTTGTGCACCGAAAGTGATAAGAACTCAAAAATCGTGAGACCAAAAGTGAAATTAATTCTTTTTATATATTCAATACTCCGATATATTTGGGTTAGGTTTTGTTTATTTTTTGGGCTGAACTTTTGGGTATTATGAATAATGAATTTGATTTTGAGTGGTAAATAAATGGGCTAAATTTTTGTTTGGGTTGGCTCTGGTTGTGTATATAATAGTGCTGATTATTATGTTCAATATAAATCAGCTAGAGTTTTCTTACATAAATTAATATTAATATGTGATTATTTTTTTTAAATTTTTTTATAATAATTTACAATTTATGTAATTATTCGATCTAATTTTTTAGTTTTATATATTATATTATAAGAGATTACCAATTTTTAATAATTTACAAATTTTAATGCATGTTGGAATTTATAATCTGTTTGAATTATAAATATTAAGTCATCAATTGCTTCTTCGTTAAGTTTCTTCATAAGCTTCTTCATTTTCTTCATCCCTTCCTTCTTCTTGCAGCGGCGGCGGTGTAGCGGCAAGGCAATAGTACCTTCTTCGTTCTTCGAGCTTCTTGATCGTACTGCAACAGCAACAGCTCCGGCTGCTTCATCTCATCTTCTTCTTCGATCTTGCTTTCTCCTGCTGCTTCATCTCATCTTCTTCTTCGATCTTGCTTCATCTGATCTTCTTCGTTGTTGACGACGGCGACAGCGACAGCGAGCTCGGCTGGTGGCGATGGAGGCGGGTTGGTGGCAACGACGGCGACAGCGACAGCCAGCTCGGCTGGTGGCGACGGAGGCGGGTTGGTGGCGACGACGGTGACAGCAGCTAGATAGATTTAGCAGCAGCAACAAGCCACGGTAGACGGTGTTTATCCCACTTCTAGAGCTCTCCGATAGAGATAATTGAAAGATGGCCGACGCTTCGCCGTCAACGTCGCCGCAAGACGGCGGTACAATCATAACGATTCTCGATGTCGACGCTTTGGTTAACTGCTTGAGCTTCCTTTCCATTCAGGACGTTCTGAATATGGCCATGGCCTCTAAAGACCTCCAAGCAGCAGCGTTTTCCGACTCTATATGGCTTTCATTCTTCAGGTTCTTCTCCGAAACCTAGCTAATTCGATTAACATCATTCAATTCGTTATTTTAGTAAAACGGCACATAACTACAAAACCAGTGACTGTCAGTGATCGATTAGTTCCTTTGTTTAGAAATAAATCATTTGCTTTTATTTTTTACTGTTTATTTGAATATCTGGAAAATTGATCATAATGGATGCTTTTTTCTCTGATCAGAAGTGGCAATATGAACGCATCAATGGAAAAGTTGGTGGAGCTGAAAGACCATTTAAGAATTCTTTCAGATTCTGTTTTTTGCTGTCAACTACGGCTGGGGGTTTAGGAATTAACCTTGCTTGTGATTATATATGACAGGTACTTTAGGACTTATATTACATTTTTCTTTTTTACTTTTTCTCTTTTCCCTTCGATTGATAAAGTCATGTTCTTTTGTACTTGTGTATGAATTTGTAGTGTGGGCCACATGTGCGTGCTCATTTCTATTGTCGCTTAAGACATTAATCTCTTTATTGGTGTGAGCTTCTTGATCCATGCCAGAAATGAGTTGTGTGCTTATAGATGATTAAATGAATTTCCCTAAGAAGTAGGAATATATTAGAATTAGGGAGTAACATATCTGGAAGACTATATTAATTTCCCTAAGAGTTGTGAGCTTCTTCTCTCTTTTGGTTTACAATCTTTCAGATTCATTAATTTGAGGACGAAACTATATTACATACAGTATGAATGTGAGATAAAGTTTTTCAATTACTGAATTTGTTCATGTAGACCTGCTTTCCCTATTGTCCAAGCAAGTGTCAATAATTTACCCTTAACTAAACCAGTATAATTTATAAACCTAATACTTGAGGAGGAAAAAAAAAAAAAAAGATGTTTATATGCATTCCCCTGCATTTTGGTCCAACAAAATGTGATTGTTTTACAAAAAATTTGTTATTCTTGTTAACTAACATTATTATACAACGACACCGTTTTACTCTTGAGTCGCTAGTCTGCTGTTAATCTGTTAGCTGTTGTTAGATATTTTCCTCATTCTTTTCCTTATCCTTAATATAAATAGGGACTATAGATTGTATGGGATTTTCATGTTTGGACTAATCAGATATCTCTTTTCTCTCAAATCTCTCTCTCTACTTCCCTCCCTATTCTCTCTCCCGCCCTCTGCATTTCTTCTTCTTCTTCCCCAAATTCTGCCTTCTTCTTCTTGTAATACTGTCCTGCCTTCCCTTTCTCCCCTGCTTTGATCTAAGAAACATTACAAAATATAACTTGGAGTCTGTATATGGAATATGTATGATATCTATCGTGATTTGAGATAATTTGATGGGTTTTCAGATGTTAGCTAGAACAGTGATGAAATGCATGCAAAACCAATATAATAAATTAATAATATCACTATCAGGCATTATATGGAAATAGTCAACCATTAATAAACTCCACAATTTTCTAATTAATGATCATTCTAAAAGAAATTACAAAATGTGATTGCAGAAGATTTGCGCAAGTATAATTGATTCCAAATAAGTATAATTATAAACAACTAGTATTTGCACCCGTGCGATGCACGGAATTGATTTGTTATAATATATTAAGAAAGTATAAATTGATATATAATTATTTAAATTAGAACATCAAATATTATATAGTGCAATTAAAGATATAATTCGAATCGTTTATATATTTTGATGTTATCATTGCTTGAATTTGTGCAAATAATTACTCAAATTAATAGCTAATGTCTAGATGTACGCATGCGATCCTATAATTTTGAAGATTTTATTTATCATTGTTTAGTATTTTCATACATTAGGCAAATGTGCTCGTTCTCTAACAACTCAGTTATAGAAATGAATTGATATCCTTCTTCCAAAAGGCTGAACCCCAACCCTAAGGGCCCCCCACACTCTGACCCGACAGAGCATTTAGAAGGATGTAAATCATGGTAACTCAACTGAACATGAACCACAGAGGCTAGACCGATGCTCACTGCGCACAAGGAACCCCCCTCACTTTGAGAGGTAGCTCCCACACTGCCGCGGGTGAGACTCGATCCCTGGTCATTCTTCCAAAAATGAATTGCTATCTTTATTCATTTGTTTGGAAGATATATCTTTTTGTCTAGATATATAGCAATTTTTTCATTAAAAAAAAATT